GTTCTGGCTTGGTTATAATGTCATGTAGCACATCTAAAACATCTCTTCTAGAAGAATTTGGCTACCTGCCTTCCAGCAACCAAGCTCGTGCTTCCAGGGCAAATGCAAGCTATACCCCCAACCCCAATTTGTCTCTGTCACCGGCTCTGCTGCTCTCCCCTTTGGAGACTGCCCACTGCCTTCACTTAGGAAGCTCCTTCTGCATCAGAATTCCCCTCTCAGCACCTGATCATAGAATCAGAGAATCATTTAGGTTGGAAAAAACCTTTAAGATCATTCAAGCCCAACTGTTAACCTAACGCTGCCAAGCCCACCACTAAACCCTGTCCCTAAACACCACATCTACATGTCTTTTAAATACCTCCAGGGATGGGGACTCCACCACTGCCCTGGGCAGCCTGTTCCAGGGCTTGGCAACTCTTTTGGTGAAGAAATTCCTGGCTTGACAACCCTCTTGGTGAAGAATTTTTTCCCAATATCCAATCTAAACCTCCCCTGGCACAACTTGAGGCCATTTCCTCTGGTCCTATCGCTGGTTACTTGGGAGAAGAGATCGAATCCCACCTCACTACAATCTCCTTTCAGGTAGTTGTAAAGCATGATAAGGTCACCCCTTAGCCTCCTTTTTATGTTTTATGTTAAACAGAAAACACACACATATGCGTGCGTGTGCACTCAATTGCCACATAAAAGTGAATGTTACTTTTAGCAATTTAGCATGTGAAAAAACAGATTTTTTACAGAAAAATGTACAAACTCATACTTTAAAAAAAGCACATAGAGAAATCAAAAATAACTGAAATGTATTCAATGTCAGACAGGAGTTCAATCTTTTCCAGACCCTCCTAATTTCTCCAAAGCTTCACAATTCGAAGGAGGTTGCAACTAGGTCCTGTTAACACAACCTACGTAAGGTGCAATCACAGAACAGCAAACCTGATGCTACTGGCTCTGCTCACCACAGTGTGTATTATCAAGATGCTGGAGGAAGACAGAACAGAAATACATGATATTTGAAGTTCATCTGTGCTACTCTAGATGGAAACAGAATCAGAAACAAAAAAGCTGCCACTTAAAAATTTTAACTTTATACAAATGTAAGCTGTCACAAAATACCTTTGCATTGTGTTCATACTACTGGGAAAAGCTGCCATTCTTTTATTAACAATTCTTCCCAGCATTACTCAGTCATTGCACATTAGAACCAGCAGCTGGAGAGTTTTGAGTGATAATGAAACCTGTAACAAGCCATCTTCAGCCGTCTTTTCCAAACAATAAGGGAATTAAAATTTCAATTTAAATGCAGAGGTTCGAAACACGCTTCAGTGGCAAAATTACTTCAATTAATGTGAGCAGAATACAAAGAACAGACTGCAGAAATGTGATGCAGCAACCAGAAATTATGCCATTAGAGTGCTTGCATCAACCTAACACGACGACTGCAAAGGTCTAATTTCGACAGTACGTATCACAAGGCTACAGGCAACAATATTAATCAGTGCTCCAATTTCAATGTGAGGGATACAAGCTCTTTCGTCAGATCGCTTCAGGCTTTTTATAAGCCACGAGCATCTGTTTACCTTGAGGAATGAAACAAAAGGACAGACAGATCTGCATACATTCTGCATCCCTGACAGTTTAGTAATTACTTTACATAATATTCGTATCATATAAAAGGAGAAAGGAATTATCCTGCAGCCAGTGAGTGATTACAACATCCCAGTCTTGCAGAGGCCGTGTTAACAGAAGATGGCAAAAGTCAGTGAGCCTACAGCGATTCTTGCCTATGAAAAAGCTCCAAATGCAGGTAGGTTACTGTTTCTTTATTACAGGTACACTTGTCTTCAAATGAGAATTGCAAGTGTCAATGAACGGCTGAAAGAGTATGTTCAATTTTCCCTTGAGGTTTCTCTGCATTCTTTAATATATTAAAAAAAAACACCCTAACAGCTGCTTTTTATGTCATTATCATTTGATTTCTTAGAAAAGATACTCTATTCTGGAAAGGAAACAGCCAACAAAAACCAGCATGGTATACTACAGAAGTCTGTACTTCAGTGAGGTCTAACACTGCCTCTAACTCACAGCCTTGGCCAGCCTTACCTACACACACACGCACGTGTGTATATATATAAGTGTATACAAAAAAAACCTGCACACACAATATATTGCGAACCAAGATAAGTTAGATATCACAAATACACATATTGCAAACCACTTCTAAAGCACATTATATAACAAATCCCAAGTATTGTTATTTGTTTTCTTACCCTTCCTATCTTATATTCCAGACAGGAAATTAATTACTTTTCTGGAATTTCCTCCTGAAAAGAACTTTTTTGAATTAGAAAAAAAACAACAAAAAAAACCCACCACCAAACCAAAAAACACCAAACCAAGCAAACTGGCAAGTCCATCAAGTAAAAGAAAGCACCAACATTTCAATTGATACTGACGTTAACTCTGAATACCATGGTTTTCCCGCTACACTGAGTAACCTGAATTTACATCTACTTCTTTATCTCTCATAATTGAAACTATCAGATGAACACCACATTCCAATTTCCTGTATTAGAAACCTGACAAAAGTTTTGGCAAAACCTGATTGAACCCTTCTCATATACGCTGCCTCAAGTTATTGCATTGCTGATCTGTTTTCAGGAATTCTAGAGGTTTTACATAACATTTTATAAAGTATCATAAAACTTCCACTCTACATTACACAACAGAAATGGATACATTACCCATCTCAGACAGTTTACAATACGGTGGGAAAGATATAAGACAATAATTCATATTAGAAGGACAGTGAGACTAAGGAGAGTAAGATGGAGAGGATTTGTAGAAGGTGGTTTTAAAAAGGAAAAAAGGGAAAATTGTGACCAGGTTACAGAAAGATGATTGCACCAGGTGTGGCATGAAAACAGAACCCCAGCATCAAAAAAAAAGCAGGAAGGTGATGGCAGAGTCAAATCAGACAAGAGGATGTGACAGCAACAACAAAAAATCCAGATAGGGTTACACATACCGTCAGAGAAAGGGATGAGGAGACTGACAACAAACTGAAATGTTTCACAGGGAACAAGGTAAGTTTTAGGCAGTCGTATTTAAGGTAAAATGAGATAAAATGGAAAGAAGGAAATTAAAGTTCAAGTCTGGGCTCTAGCAATATGAGGTGACAACACCATGATTTCCAGCTCTCCATCCATTGAATAATGACCCATTAAAAAGAAGTGAAGAGGCACAGCTAAGAGAAATACAAAGGACAGTGAAGTTAAAAAAAACAATAATAAAGGAAGGCAATGAAAAGATTTCCTTAAAGGCATTCGCTAGCAAACACAAAGAGGAGTATGAACAGACACACTTCTTTTGCCTTCACTTTTGAATCACAGACTGCTTAATGTTGGAAAGGACCTGTAGAGAACATCTAATCCACCTCCCTGCTCAAGCGTGGTCACCTACAGCCAGTCACCCAGGACCATGTCCAGTCTGGTTTTGAAAATTTTCCACAAATAGAGAGTCCACAACCTCTCTGAGTAACCTGTTCCAGCGTTCAACCTTCCTTACAGTAAAAAAGTGTTTTCTTATGCTCAGACAGCTTCCTATGTTTCAATCTCTGTCCATTGTCTCTTCTTCTGTCACTGGGCCCCACTGAGAAAAGCGTGGTTTTGTTTACTTTGCATCCTCCCATCAGACATAACCATCAATAAGATCTCCTTGAGGAGATCTCTTCCCTAAGTGACGCAGTCCCAGCTCTCTCAGCCTCTCCTTATATGTGAGATGCTCCTGTCCCTTAACCATCTTTGTGATCCTTCGCTGGACTCGATCCAGTAACTACCTCTCTGTCTTGTACCAGGAGAACCTATAACTGGACTCAGCGCTCCACATGTCGGGACTGACTAGAGGGGAAGGATCACCTCCCTTGTAAAGTTTTTAATTACTGGCAGAAGACAGTTCCAGGAAAGAAAGGATTGGAGCCTGGAGAGGAAGTGTGCTTGTTAAGTTTAGGAATAAGAGAAAAGGAAAAAAACATTGTTAGTAGAGAAGTTCAGGAAACATCTACCTGCACTACGAGACTGGACTTGAAAGGTGTGCTTATAAAAGAGTAGAACTGAAGAGGACAAACACTTCAAGATAAAGAGAAAAAAGATTAAAAAAAGAGTTGGAAATAAGTACAAAGGATCAAGCTTCCTGGTAAAAGACCAAGAGGAAGATAATGAGAGGCAAACACATCTAGAATAGAATCGTAGAATCATTTAGATTGGAAAAGACCTTAAGCTCATCAAGTTCAACTGTAGAAAGGCAGAGTCAGGGGAATCCTGGAGAGTTAGAGGACTGTGGACAAGCTTATAAATCATTTGGGAAAGCTTGGGTCAATATGAAGGGGGAGATGCCTTGGGGCAACGCACGCAAATAGGCCAGATGAGGTTTTGGAAGGCCCTGGAGCTAGTGGTTGTGCTGCTGTTCTTTCACCTAAATGGTGAAAGACAGTCTCCCCTCTGAATAGTGACCAAAGTTGTGAGTGCATTCTGGGCGATGAAATAGGAGAGAAACAGGATAGTTCTTCCATAACAAAAATGGTTTTGAAATAACTGATAAGGTAGAAAGAAAGAAGATGATACTGGCATGCATCTGGGAAATTAATTTTAAAATAAGGCACCAGGTTTCAAACGCAGAAGGAAATTCTACATGCGATCAAATAGGTCAAGAACTAGATGGTTACAGAAAGCGTCAGGATCAGGACAAGTAAAGAGACAAAGACAGCTCTGAAAGACAAGAGCTAACCAAACAGGATGGGAGACTGTAACCCTAAATTCAGTTGGGAAGGATCAAAACAAAACCAAACAGAAATTCCAGTACAAGAAAGCAGTGAATGACAGAAGAAACTAAGCAGGGAAAAAAGCAAGTAATAGCACAGACAGCAGATCTGTCTGCAGATGATCAGACAGCTGACCAGTGTGTTTCTGGTAGATACCGCCCCAGCAGGAGGTACATCTTACCAGCATGTCTGTTGCGTTGAGGTAGTGCTTGCTGGCCATGCACTGTTCCAGCTTCTGAGGCACTTGCTTGATGTTCTCTATCTCATCCAGCAAATTCAGGACATGTTTGTGCTCAATCCCTTCAATCCACAGTTTGCGCAACTCGTCCCGCTTGCAATGCAGCAGCATCTTGCATGATAGCAGATTCTCCTTCACCTACAAGCAATGTGTCAAAAGATTAATTAAATCTGTCCCTGTAACTGGCACTTCTAACATAGATCAGCCCTTTCCCACATTTAATGTACTAGGAATTCCAAAAATAATCACAGGTCTATACCAAATCCAAGGTCTTTAAAATTTCTGGTTATTCTTTTGTCTGAAGGAAAGCATACAGTACATAGAAATTGGAACTGCTTTCATAGTGAAATGTTTTTCAGTACAAGTTTTGTACCACTAGTGAAAATTTAACTGAAGTATCATAACATGAACAAACGCAGGATCCTATTAACCATGACCACAGACTTACTTGCATGTTTTCCAAAAATCAATTCAGTATTTTGGCATACAGCGAGAATCCAATTTTCAGTGAAAGCAAATAAGCCACTACTAATTTTTCTGCTGTAAACATTTTCCATCTGCCTATTAAATCTTTTGGCACGTCTCCTCCTTTCTTCAAGTTTGGTATCCATTTCTTGAAACCTGACTATCTAAGAGTACAACTATTTTCCCAACACCTCAAGCAATACCAATTTGTTTCGTAAGAGATCTGGTTTCATCGGAACAAACAGCAGTTAAGATACAGTTCAATTCAGCATTTCCATTATTTATCAAGGCCGTCACATCACCTACAGAAACAACTCGGTCTTTGCTATTCAGTGTGTACTCGAGCCTCACACCATCCTCTCTAAACGACAAAGTCTTTACTACTCTACTCCATTTGGGAAACATCAAGAGTTTTTCTTCTCCATTCTTTCTGCTCCAACCCACAGCCTGCATTCCCTGCTTTCAGGTTCTCCCAATATCCTCTGGTAAGGTCAGTATAACCTAGCTTTTCCTGCATAATGCAAATCAATAATACATATTAAAATGTGGAAGCAATTAACAACAGTTTCACACATTGTTTTCACACTACTCTTGTTTTTGTGAGAAGTTATGAATACTTAGGGTCCAACCTTTTCTCAGACTGAACTCTCACTGAATTACACATGAAGAGAGACTCTCAGAAGTAGGCCCTTCAATTTATTTTTAAATAATGAGCCTTCAAAGCTCTCCAGAAATCCCACTTCACCTGCACATTCTCCTACCTTGTTTGTCTAAAGGCAGTGTAAAAAAAAAAAAATACACGCAAAACACACAGATGGACCAAAATACAGACAACCGGTAAATAACAATAGCTACATAAAACAGCCTCCATCCAGAGTCAGAAGAGACTAAGATTTCAATACAGTAACATTGCACTCTGAAATGTCCTTCTGAAAAGAATAACATAGAAAAATCCTCAGCCAACAGAAACCCTAAGGTAAGAGTGTCATAACTTGCTGCAAAAGCAGAGGCAAACTAAAATGCATACAGAGCTCATTTCAGACTTAATCCCTGTTCAATACCTTAAATTAACATGTTTGACTGACCTAGCACACCATCATCCATGGACTGCTGTTACATAGAGCCAAAAGAGGTCACAAAAACAATTGCGAGGCTAGAAGAAATCTCACAAGGCATTCCTACTCCTATCCTTGCAAGAAAGGAGATGAACTATATCTACATTTGGGAGCAGGGGAAGGAATGAACAGCAAGTGTTTAAGAAAGAACCTCCCCGCGGTAAGCTAAATTGTTTCTACTTTATAATTCAGTTTTACAGTGGTAACACCTCTAAAGCTAGATTCTAAACTAAGCCTTTCCCAACAGAAATTCATGCAAGAATTGACTACAAAAGGTAGATACACAGAGGGATTTGGACTATCTACCACTTCTACAATTCCTAATGCAAGTAAACGCCTGTGCGATCGCCCACCTTCCACAAGAGGGGAACATCAAAAGGAAGTCTGATACAGATTGATGACAAACCAGATCTGTGGCCTCCCATGAGATTAGGTCAAAACTACTTCAATACATATTGACCAAAACTAATAAGAAAACTTAAATATCAAAAGGTCCTTCACCCTTACAGAATTTCTTCTAGGCGGGACCAAAAGGTCACACCCATATATGTTTGTTTTGACCTCTGCAAGGCTTAGTACACCATGTGAAACTAGGCACTGGCTACAGTTTATTTCAAATTTAGTGCAATTGATTTCTCCTTTCAAAGTGCTGAGCTTTGTACATAAATCCTAGAATGAACTCTTACCCTTGGAAAGCATCAGAATGGTCTCATTTTCTTTGAAAATGCTAAATGAATTTTAAAAGCCAGAAGGGTCGGCACATAGCCCCAGAAGGGTAAGAGCCTACTGTTCCTAAAGCACCGCTGTGAAAGGTTTTAAGCAGAGAGCTTCACAGAACCAGGAAAAAAAAAAAACAAAACACAACACAAATGGGTAAATTTGGTGTCTAGTTTGCAAAGTTTAGGTATAGCAAACTACGCAGGAAATAAAAGATATGACAGGAGACCAAAGAACTAATCTACTGCTGCAGGGAGAAAGCAGATGGAACAAAGAGCACCCGAGTTATTTACTGGCACGCTACCGAAGTGTGAGCACTCAAAATAAAGGAAGATACGGGGGCACAGAGTTCATGTGCATTCACACAACAGAACTGAGTTTGGAAATAGCACCAAAATTCATATTTTCTGAGCAAAAAGCAAGCTGATGAATCACCCAGACTATTTAGGAGGTGGTTGGAGGCCAATATATCAAAACATGAGGAGATTAGACAGAAAGGTGTTAGCTTAGCAGCCCTCAGACCTCAAAAACCCGATAGCAACATGCCCAGACAATAAATGAACAGGGGGCACCGCAAAGCTTTGCGCTCCATATCCACCTCCCGTTTTGCTTTTTAATTATTTGTATTCTCAAACAACAGAGAGATCCTATGGAAAACATGTCTCAAGTAAGATGTAGCCTGGGACCACTGTATTAGGACTGGATGGTCCGCTCCCAGCCGTGCCACAGAGCAACTTGAAAAATCAGGTCTAGTTCAGAATTAGTGGGTAACAGTACTTTCTCAATTAATTTTTTAGTTCAGTTCAGGATGATGACAAGCAGCTGGAAAAAGGGAGGGAGAAATAAAAGCTTAAAATGGGAGCTTACAACATCACACTGCCAATAAAAGGACAGTACACAGGAAAAAGATAGAGGAGTTGCACAGATTTGTACCCAGAGTACCGTCTATCAAGCAGATGCAAACACAGAAACACGTGCAAAGCTAGACTTCACCTGTTTGATCTTGTTGCGTGAGTTGGTGATGCGCTCTGTGATGCTCTGGTACGTGCGGATGGCAGTGGTGAGCTCAGTGTAGTGCTGGACAATGAGCTCATCCAAATCCCGATCACATTTCTCATAAGCTTCTTCCAGGCGGCCTTTCTCGGTCTCTCGGTCCTCAACATCATCGCTGGTAGATAAAGTCCTAAGGACAAAAAGATTACAAAAATAGGGATATTTTGAAATTATCTGTAAGGACAGGAAACCTTTGCCTAAAAAATACATTACCTACTGCAAACCAGTCACTCTCATTAGTCTGTACACTTCACTGAGTAAAGCTTATTTCTGGTAAAAATGTCTGTCTGGTGTTCAACACAGAACAATGTACTTCAATGAAATTAAAAAAAAAATAAAAATCACATAAATACTGTGTTTTATTGCTTCCCCAATTTTCAGATGCTTCAGAGCTTTTTTACTATGCTACTGGATTTATGAAAAGGGAAAGTTACCTATTAGTTATCATATTTCCAGAAAGACATTAATACGGGCCCAGCATAACATCTGAAATATATCCTGATTTATCACGTACAAAGAACCACAAAGAAGAAATTCTACTTTGGAATCAGGGACCGGTGCAATTATTTCTTAGAAGTGTTGCGGTTACTACTACTTATCTACCAAAAGTACGCTAGGGATATCACAAGCACGTAAAGAAATCCACCAAAAGGTCACCCATGCCTTCCACTAGTCAAGCTGTTTTCAAACGTATGCCAGTAGAGCGAAGAAGTGTCGCAGGCTCTTATTTCCACAGACACCCCAATTTATTTTAACTTCTGAGTAACATCATTTAGAAAAATTCTAATTTTTTTTTTTAAATCAATGAAGTTCGAGATTCCAACAAAACTGTGAAAAATTAATGAAACTGGCACAGAAGATAAAAGTTTCTTGGTGTCACTCCTAATTTCTAGCCAATCTTCTCTTTCTCCCTTTCTCTCTTCACCCTGCTCACTCCCTTCTCGAGACCCATCCTGCCACCGGATCCAGAAGGCCAAACCGGGAAAGACTCCATGGCACTACCAGAGAGAAGGCAGGAGAAAGCACTAGCCAAAAGGACACATCCTTATCCCCAACAGTAGGCAGCACTCAAAAAGTTGGTTTGTGCAAAAGAGGCATCCTAAATTTTCCTCTTCCTTTATCCTTGGAAGGGTAGCTATGGTCCATACAGGTTTCTGTTTTAAATCAGCAACACAGTCATTAAAGACTGTATACTTCATGGTCCAAAAGACAAAATTCATTTAGGATCACTGATAGTAGTTACGACCTAACCACTGGTATATCACAACCTTCAGATCTAGCAGGGAAGAATTCTGTAGCTCTATTGACAATGTCTGGATCATTTTAAAGAACTTACGATGAGAAAATATGCAAAATTGAAGATTTAAAAAAAAAATTTCACTGCATACAAACTGTTTTGGATCATATGCTTTCAACATCATGAAACAATCATAACCTTCAAAGAAATACGGAGCATCTACTTGCTGAAAGTGAGATGGTTTTAAAAATACAACTAGTCGTGCTTGAACACGTGGAGACTGTTATTTCATTTAAATCACAGAAGTTTAGGCCTCTGAACTGAGGCACCATCTTAAGATGCTATGCATCCTACTGAAAGAGTATAAAAATAGTAAGAGACTAGAACAGTCATTGTTTCCTATCCAAAAGACTATGAAAAAATACACTGCCGGGAGTACGAGAGAACTTTTTGAGCTTTTCTCTCTGGATTTCTTAAGCTATTTGTGTACAGAAGGTCAAATAGTTGGAAGGAGACAAAAAAAACCATTGCTGAACGCTGCTGCCGCTCTCTGCTACATAACAGATTTCACTTTGGGTTTGTTAAAGCAATGAGGTCCAGTCAAACTGAAACCTGTATCTCCTGCTGTCAAGTAAGAAAGAAAATAGCAACTTTTCTTGCAATAGCAGTCACTTGGCCTCTACAGTAAAAGTTAGAAGGTAAGTGAGAACTGCTTGCACATCATTGAAAAATAACAAAGGAGAGAAACCTATTTCTTTATGGTTTATTTAAGAGTATCTTCAATGACAACAAGCAGGACACAAGAAGGGTTAGTATTTGATAGATTTTTCTGAATTCTTCAATACCATTAGGAATGTAGTAGGAACTCAAGCGCAAAAGCTCTTCTCAAATAAACGTAAACAAAGAACTTAGACACACAAGAAAGTTTCCCCTCTCTCAGAAAGTCATGAGAGAGATAGCCAAAACTTCCAGTTCACTACTCTTTTTCTTCCCTTCAAAGAAAAACAACAGGCTGCACCACCTACTCAAGGCCTCCAGCTTCACAAAGAAAAAAAAAAAAAGCCATTTCACAGGGGGTCACGATCCCAGAAAGAGCAGCTAAGAAAACTCAAGTGAGCAAGCAAATCTGTACTACCATATGGAACATGGCATGAGAGGACAGGAGCACATGCAGACTTGTCCTACTCAGCTACCAAGGAGGACAGAGGAATCACAGCCAAAATACATCCTCCAAAACCCTAAAAGACGACAATGTACCCAAGTGATGTATTTTACTTTCCGCAGTTTTAACACTCCTTTTCACTTTCAGATGGCAGTGGCAGAAGGGTAACAGATACCACATGGAAATGAGGAGAAGAGATCCTCTTTCTTTTGTTATGCCTCAGACTATCAGCGTGGGTACCTCACACCCTCCTCCCCACTCCCAAATACCAAGAACTGCACATTTTACAGGGGATGTGGCTGCACCTCTCCTCTTGCACAAAGAGGACACCAAGACGAGAAACCCCCTCCTCATTCCACTGACAGCATAGCTTCTTCCAACACTTAAAATTTATTTGTAGCTTTTCAAGTTCCACGCTTCATGGTAGCTACAGAAACAGGAATGCTTTCTAATGTTATTACATTAGTATTCTACTCCCAAACATTCTTAGTTGTGTCTTAAATTCTGTTTTCACAAAAAAAAATTTTTTTCTTGATTTGTACTCTATGCAGAGCACTTTAACATCATGCAAAAAGGACCTGGAAAGTAAGAACAGTAATACAGTGGTCAGAAAATAAGCCTGGAATTAAGAAATCTGGGTTACAGCCTCTGCTCTACCACAGACCTCTGACACCATGCTTACAGCACCCTCACATTGCAGACTGCATCTTGACACTACGCCGTGAGCTACACACAGCTCGTGGGTACTACAGATTCCTGATGTAAATATCTGCATCTCAGTGGAATGAGCTGAGCAGGCAGATCCGTGTCCTTGTGGCCCAGTTTCTCTTTCTCACCTGGGGAATACACAGTACTGGTTCCTCAAACAAGCAAGCTGCGATTACATGCACCAAGTACTACTGAAACACTCAACGCTGTTAGCAGAGGTCGTGTAAACACTTCAAAGTAATGTACGAAGATGTGCTAGAAAACAAAGCTAAGCATAAAGTTAATGCAACAGTATTAAACATACAGTACTTGTGAGAGACAGCGAAGTTTGGGTTCATGCTGTAACAGATAGAAATCACATGCAAGAATGTGTTTGGCAGTAAATCATCCTCCATTAAGAGCTCTTGCAGATGAATATGCTTTCTTTGTGAAGAAATGCTTATTTTCGCTAGAAGAATGTTTTTCAGCATGGTTACACTGGACATGAACATATATCCTTTGTAGGAATTGACATATTGTTCAAGTTTGAAGCTGAACAGTATTGCTTGTCTCAGTAGTTAATGAAAACATCGATTCTCTCTAACCTGCATTACAGATTGCAGGAGAATCCTGGATTGCTGCAGACAATGTAGAAGCGGAACCAAATTGGCCTATATCATGGACTAGAAAAGTTTTTAGTTCTAATTAAACAAAATTCAATTTCAAAATTCTTGATTGGCCAAAGCTGTTCAGCTTTGGCTTGACTCCATCTGCAATGCTGGTAGTTTGATACAAAAGCTAAAGATCTTTCTCCAAGGCTAAGACTACATCAGTGTAATGCCAGAGGACGTCCCAAGCCTTTTCTAATGCTCCAGCAAGTTTCTGCCCAACTCAGGCTTCCGAACAACTTCCAGTCACATCCGTACTTTTTAAGCAGATTCAAATTGTGCTGCTCCGTTGTTTTTGTCCTTGTAATTGAGTTTAACTTGCCCTCTATAGGAAAAATATTTTTTGCTAAAAACCCTTGACATTTGCACAGCCAAAACATAGATGTTTATGGCACCTGAGAGGTCACAACAGGATCTGTGTCTTAGAAACCACAAAACGTGTCAAAAGGACAAAGGTAGTAGAGCTGGAAATCAGAAGCCTTTGTGAGGTACCACAAGCTTATTCCTACTGAAATGATATGACAATGTCTAACTAAAAGTATCCATTTTAGCTGTCATTTTGCTATTTGTCTGCTTAGATATATACTATACATTTGCTGCCACCTTCAGCAGAATCAAGATGCTTTAGGGGGAAAAAAGCAACCTATCTGGCTGAGCACTACACATCTTCTCATGCAGTCTAAACTCCAAAGACATCATCTTTTAAACCCACATGACCACCAGCAGTAGCATGAAAACACTGCCAACCCATATTAAAAAGAAGGGTAACAGAAATACAGAGGTCTCAAAGCTCCAGTCCATCTAACCTGACTTCAGGAACCTCAGCAGCACACGCTAGGAACATAGTTTCCAATTAAGTCTTTTCCTACACTTACAGTTCTCTGAAAAATGAGCTTAAGACGCAGCTGTCGCCCAGAACCCAGCAAGATGAGAGCACGACAAAGGAATCACCCTGCTGCTGTATAAAACCTTCCTATGCCTGTACTTGGAGTGAGATGTACAGTTCTGCTCTCCTCTCTCTTCTGTTACTCTTGGAAGGGCAATTAAAACAATGGAGGGGATGAAGCAGTCATTCTCTGCAGAGACACTAAGGCCAAGACTCTTCAGTTTGGAAAAGAAAAGGCTGAAAGGAGATAGGACTGAGGTCTGCAGAGTCAGAAACAAGATGAGTAACATAGATGCAACACAGTTTTTCACCAATCATGCACTATTAGAACTACTGGCACTTGCTGAAGCTAACAGGAGATCAGTTTAGAGAAAGATAGAGCACACCTATACTTTAGGTAGTGGACTCCTGAACCTTGCTGCAGGATTTGAGGCTCACAGAATCAGCAGGTTCAAAGATAGGACTTCAGTGTATTCACAGACACCAGGTCAAAACAAATACTGAAAAGAAACTACCTGGAGCGTATCCTCCAAC